GTAGTGAATAAAGGGTGATTAATTTAACTTTCTTAAAGGTAAATCTATGTTACAGGATCAGACAGGAACTTTGTTTAGCCTAATTGAAGAGGAGCAGAGGCTGCCGCCCTTACTCCTGTTGAATAACACCTTATTCACTTGACAGTTCCATGGGATCACATCGGACTCAGAGATGTATTTCCGTGGCTGATGTTAAGGGAAGATGGAAGAGCACATATTCATACCGGTTCTTTCTCTAATTTTAAAATATACTAATCTGCTTCTGAAAGAGGACAGAAACATATCAATCCTCTTTGTTCATGTCTTCAAACTCTTTTCTGCTTATTATCTGTCAATACACTACACATTATATATTACACAGGGTATTGGTTTTAAAATATGCCTTAAAGTGAGGCATGTGGAGAAGGTAATGAGAAACGCTCTATTTATGTTTCATGGACAATTCATACATTTTCTATTGTAAGAGATCTAACATTTGCCCCATCACTTTCCAAATGTCAGTTTCTCTGCTATTTTCACACACATGGCTTTTGTACTGCATTGCAACATTAATTTTAAAAGAAAAATCCATAGTTTTGTTAGAAACAGGCACAATATTTTAGCTTTTAATTCCATGTCTCTGACCACTTCTCTTCCTAACAGCTTATAAAAAGAAAAAAAAAAAAAACAAAACTCCCAAAGAAAGTTTCTTCTCTATTTGCTTCAGAGAGGATGAATTCAGAAACGTCTTTACATCCAGAATAATCTTGTAAAACATGCTGATATCTTAGGAACAATACCAGGCACAGTGCACTCAAGAATTACCTCGAATTTTGCTCTGCAGGAGTGAGAGCTGAAGGTGGCTTGTGCCCTGGGTGTGCTTGGACAGGAGTGAAAGATGGGGGGAGAAGAGTTTGCTTTTCTTGCTTCTGCTGTGAGAAGCGAGCAACTCTAGGGCTCACCACCCTACTACCTGTCCTAAGAGGTTTCTTGCTGCTGGCAGGGATCTGGCAAGGGCCACTGAGGCCAGGATCATCTAGCAGCCTGCTGGTCTGCATGAATGCCTGCTGTTCTGCACCTAGAGCTTGCCCTGGTGTTAAGCAGCTAAAAACAACTCTTAGACAACATCTGAGAAATCAGAGTATTTCATGTGGAAAACTGATGTCTTCTGGAGACCAGGAATAGGCAAGGTATTGCTAAATGCGTGGATCCTGGTCTGAAACAGAGGTTTATAGCAACTGGTAGGAATGATAATTTTTTGATAGTTAATGTTTTACTTGCAAACCGTTTTCTTGTGACCAAGCTCCTCGTCTTACAAATACCAACACAAGTCAGTGCAACTGCTGGATAGAGACTAAAGGCTGGAAAGACATGCTGTGTAACAAATTAATAAACATGCTACAGGTGCATTCTGCAATGGAGTGGGGGATCATGGTGTGCAAGGGAGGGTTTCCTGAGCTGGGGAAATCCCGGGAGAGCACAGAGACCGGCTGGGGAGAGCCGTGGGCAGGGCCAGGAGTGATGGCAGCCAGGCCCCACTCCCACAAAATGCAGCCCTGTGTTTGTGGCCAGGGTGGACAAGTGGGACGTGACACCAGGGTGTGGCACAGCAGCTTGCGGGGCAGTTTGCATGGTAGGAGCATTCCAGTCCTCCTAACCCAGGCACGGGGCGCCATTCTGTGACCATCTACACAGGCCAAGGGCATCCATCTGACCTGGCCCTCGGGGCAGGAGGGCAGGCGCTTGCCTAAGAGCAAAGGCTGAAACTTTGGTGGCGCAGGTCTGCACCATCAGTGGTGGTTGATGTTTCCACCCAGCCAGAGCTGCTGAGGGGAGAGGCCACTGTGCAGGCAAGTGTCCATAACTTTCTCCTGGGGCAGGGATGGGTGGAAAACCTGCCTGCAAAAGGTGTGCCCGGGGGGAGGACTCCCTGCAGCTGGCGGGTGAGCTGCAGGAGACAGTGAGAAGGCTGTGTAGCATCAGGGAGGATGAGGAGAAGTTAGATAGCTGGTTCCAAGCACAGGCTGCAGTGGGCCCACAGCCCTATGCCACAGAGCTAAAACCTCCCCCACTGGCACATATGGAAGGAAGAGGGTCCAGTAATGCAGAAGAATTGACACTTGCAACAGCAAGGACCTGCAGAATGAAGAGACTTCCCCTGAAGCCTGAGGTGCTCTTGAAGAACCACTTCACTGCTCTGCAGACTGAAGATGAAAGGTCTGTCACATCAGGAGAGATGCTGGAGCTGAGTAAGGCAGCCTTGCCTGCTCCCCATGTAGCAACCTCTGCAACTAGGGCAACGGGTGATTGTGGTGGGTGACTCTCCTCTGAGACATGTGGAGGCACCATCTGCCAACCTGTCGCACTCTAGAGAGGGGTGCTGCTTACCAGGGGCTCATATCAGGGATGTCACTGAGAGACTGCTGAGCCTTGTAGACTCCACCGACTCTTATCTGCTGCTCTTGTTTCACGTAGGCAGCAGTGATACAGCCAGAAGCAGTTCGAGAAGTATCAAGAAGGATTACAGAGTCCTGGGAGCAGTGATTAGAGACTCTGGAGTGCAGGTGGTTTTGTCATCAGTCCTTCTGATCAAAGGGAATGGGTTTGAAAGGGCCAGTTGAATCTGGCAAATGAACAATTGGTTATGGGACTGGTGCCACAACCAGGGTTTCGGGTACTTAGACCATGGGACTTGCTTTAAGAAACCTTGTCTACAGGGGGATGATGGGGTCCATCTGTCAGAGAGGGGAAGAGCATCTTTGGATATAGGCTGGCCAAGCTGGTGAAGAGGGCTTTAAACTAAAGTTGCCAGGGGAGGGAACCTCAATCCATCCCACTCCTACCAGCTTGATGCCAGTGCCAGCAACAGATGCCCAGACACTGGAGAAGGGTCACAGGTCAGCGGGAGAGCACCCGAAGAGCAGCACAAAGGAATTCCAGCCAGTAAATCAGATTCATCAGGGGCCCAACTTAAATGCCTCTATGCAAATGCACACAGCGTGGGGAATAAACATGAGGAGCTAGAGACATGCACACGCCTACAGGGATACAATTTTATTTGCATCATGGAGAAGTGGTGGGATGGGTCCTATAACCAGAGTGTTGGAATGGAAGGATACAAGCTCCATAAGAAGGACAGGCAGGGAAGATGAGGAGGGGGGTTGCCCTCTGTGTCAGTGACTACCTGGAGTGCAGGAACCCCTGCCTGGGGATGGGTGAGGAGCTGACTGAGATTTTATGCATCAGGATTAAAGGGAGAGCAGGGACAAGAGACATTATAGTGGGTGTCTGCTACAGGCCACATGACTGGGTCAACAAAACAGATGAGGCCCTCTATAGACAGATAGAAGCAGCCTCATGTTCACAAACCCTGGTCTTAATGGGGGACTTCAACCACCACGATATCTGTTGGAGGGACATCACTGTAGGGCATAAGCAATCCAGGAGGTTCCTGGAATGCATTGATGATAATTTCCTTTTCTAAGTGAGAGAGGAGCCAATAAGGAGAGGAGCTATGCTGAACCTTGTTCTCATCAGCAAGGAAGGGCTGGTTGGGACTGTGAAGTTAGAGGACAGCTTTGGCTGCCGTGACCATGAAATGGTGGAGTTCAAGATCCTTAGGGCAGCAAAGTGCACAGTCCATTACCCTGGACTTCAGGAGGGCAGGCTATGACCTCTTCAGGGATCTGCTTGACAGAGTAGCATGGGATAGAGCCCTGGAGAGAAGAGGGGCCCAAAAAAGCTGGCTAATATTCAAGGATCACCTCTTCCAAGATCAGGAGTGATGCATCCCAACAAACAGGAAGTCAGGTAAGATAGCCAGAAGGCTGCATGTATGAACAAGGAGCTCCTGGACAAGCTCAAACACAAAAAGGAGGCCTACAGAGGGTGGAAACAGGGACATGTAGCCAGAGAGGAATACAGGGAAATTGAGCAGGTAGGGATCAGGTTAAGAAGGCCAAATCCCTGATAGAATTAAATCTGGCCAGGAACATCAAGAGCAACAGTAAAAGCTTCTATAAGTATGTTGGTGACAAAACAAAGACTAGGGAAAATATGGGCCCTCCCTGGAAGGAAACAGGAGACCTGGTTACCTGAGATATGGAGAAGACTGTGGTACTCAACAACTTTTTTGCCTTAATCTTCACTGGCAAGGGCTCCAGCACAAGATGACAAAGGCAAAGGCAGGGACTGGGAGACTGAAAGCATTTGACACTGTCCTTCACGACATCCTTGTCTCTAAATTGGAGAGACGTGGATCTGATGGATGGACCACTCAGTGGATAAGGAATTGGCTGGATGGTCACACTCAGAGACTTGTGGTCAAACGACTCAATGTCCAAGTGGACAGCACTGCTGAGTGGCGTTCCTCAGGGGTCAGTGTTGGGACTGGTGTTATTTAACATCTTTGTTGGAGACATGGGCGGTGTGATCGAGTGCACACTCAGCAAGTTCACCAATGACACCAAGTTGTGTGGTGGGGCTGACATGATGGAGGGCAGGGATGCCATCCAGAGGGACTTGGACTGGCTGGAGAGCTGGGCCCAGGCAAACCTCATGGAGTTCAACAAGGCCAAGTGCAAGGTCCTACATATGTGTTGAGGCAATCCCAAGCACAAATCCAGGTTGGGCGATGAGTGGCTGGAGAGAAGCCCCAAGGAGAAGGACTGGAGGTGCTGGTGGGAGGAAAAACTGCCTGTGAGGCAGCACTGTGCGCTTGTAGCCCAGAACCCACCTGTGCCCTGGGCTGCAGCCAGAGCAGGGGGGGCAGCAGGGCCAGGGAGGGGATTCTCCCCCTCTGCTCCACTCTGGGGAGACCCCCCTGCAGTGCTGGGGCCAGCTCGGGGGCCCCCAACAGCAGAAGGACACGGAGCTGCTCGAGCGGGGCCAGAGGAGGCCACGAAGATGCTCGGGGGGCTGGAGCAGCTCCCCTGGGAGGTGAGGCTGAGAGAGTTGGGGGGGTTCAGCTTGGAGAAGAGAAGGCTCTGGGGAGACCTTCGAGTGGCCTCCCAGGGCTTAAAGGGGGGACAGGAAAGGTGGGGAGGGACTCTGGATCAGGGTGTTGTCACATCCCGCTCGGACGAGGGAGACAAGTGACTTAGATTTGTAAATCCTGAATGGAGCAGATAATGGTAAGACAAGTCTCAATGTCCATGCACAGACATTTATTAATTTTCCACAATATACTAATTGGATACATGGTAATTGGCTAAATATATATGAAATTATGTCAAGCAATATAGTATGCCTTGAATTACTTAATGGTAATAAGGGGAAAGGGGAAAAAGAAAAGAAGAGACATGGAAAGAGGGAATAGAGAAACAGATCACTGGTCCAGGGTCCTGCATTGGCCACCTCAGAGTTTGTCAGGGATTCATCCATCTCCTCCACTACTTCACATCTTTTTTCTTTCTGTCGCTTGCTTACTGTTACTCCTTGCCCCTCCTCAATTTATACACACTTTCCTTGGCTCCATTCCCTAGATCGACCCACATACTTACGTATCACATGTATGGGGAGGAGTAAGGTGCTTTATGGGATGATATAATTAGCACGATATTGTTAATCTTCATTAGCATACTCAGAGATGTCAGCTTTAATATGCATTTTGTGGATAATGAAGAAAAGGTCATTCACCAGACAGGTGGCCCTTGAAACTTTACAAGCTGTGCTAGAAAAGAGCCATCCTACTTCCACAAGGCTCTTTCCCCTACTGCTTCTTGTGCTATTTGGTCAGCCTTAGCAGCTGCAGGCTCCACATTATCCACCGTGTGGCTACAGTTTTGTTATATGCAAGTTTTTGAGGCATTCCTTGGCTCAGAGGGCCTCTGCTCACCCCCATCCCTTATCTCTTTCTCAGGCTGTTTTCTCAGTCCCTGTTTTGGGGAGTTACAAGTCAGCTCTTTATCAGGAGGTGTAGGGATAGGATAAGGGGTAATGTTTTTAAACTGAAAGAGGGCAGATTTAGTTTAGATGTAAGCAAGAAATCCTTCCCTGTGCTGGGATGAGGCGCTGGCCCAGGGTGCCCAGAGCAGCTGTGGCTGCCCCCTCCCTGGAAGGGTTCAAGGCCAGGTTGGACGGGGCTGGGAGCCCCCTGGGCTGGGGGAAGGGGGCCCTGCCCGGGGCAGGGGGACTGGAACTAGATGGTCTTTAAGGACCCTTCCAACCCAAACGATTCCATGATGCTATGATTCTATGAATGACTTAGGGATTTATTTGGAGGCATAATATGGAAACTTACATTACTACTACAAGTGATGTCCTACTGCTGAGAATACAGATGAGAACTTCAGTAAATTCTTTTCACAGAGTTTTTAAAAAAAGCAGTTTAAAATAAGTGTTCAGGATAAGATTTTAAATATTTTTATTTTTTTTTTTTTTTCCTTTTTTTCTGTGTCATTAATCTGAGACATGACATTCTACCTGGTGAGTGATTTTTAAAATCCTTGTCCAGATTCCTTTAGGCTCTGTGAATCATAAACTGTCACAGCTGACACCTTCTAAGATATTTTAATCTTTGTGCTGTTTTTAAGGCTGATGATGTGGGGTTTTTTTTTGTTTTTTTTTTTTTTTTGTTTTTTTTTTTTTTGTTGAGGTGTCAGTGCTCAAAGCACTGCAGAATATGGCCTTACCTAGGGGTTCCTGTTGACATTTGGGTGGTCTGCCTGTTCCAGAGCTGTAACAGCTGAGGGGCACCAGGAGCTCTCTTTTGGCTGGCGGTGAGTGTAGAAAGCTGTACAGGAAGGTCAGAGCACTGGCACTGCAGGGCTCTAGTGCAGCTGCTAGTCCAGATTCTGCTGTCGAATTTCAGTTATGAGATGCTTTTAATTACACTAATCTTTCTGCTGCCACTGGCATGTTCACTGGACTGCAAGATTATTGGGCACCTTCATAGCAGAAGGGTGTCTTTGCCTCCTGAGAGAAGTCCCCTGCCAAGGCAGGAAGACTGGGCTGCTCCAGACCCTTTTAGACATGGTTCTGCAGAGCATGACACAATGTGGCCAATTCTTCCAAAACTTGGGGATATGATGGGGTTAGTCAGAGAAGGGGCCCAGACCCTGCTGCAGGCAAGTCTGGGTTCTCTTGAGCTGAAAACGCAGCATAGAAGCACGTAAGCAGCTACAGTGTTTACATTAGGAAAGAGTATGGGAGCCAGGTGATGGTGACTGTATGAGCGGTGGGAAACTTACCTCTCATCATTAATACATGTGGTCTTAGACTCCTTAACAACCACATATCTATCTGTGATGAGGCCTAATTTCCTCCAATATTGTGGGCAACTACATGTTTTACAGTAGTCTGCCTGCCAGTAATTTCTCATAACCAAGACTAAACAGGGGTGACCCTCTGCACAGCATTTGTCAGCGTTGGCCTTGTGGTAATTAATCCATCTGTCCATTGCTGCAGCTGATTCTCTGCATCTGTTCAACAGATCTTTTTGCTGAATTGCTGTTGAAGATGAAGTGTTTAGATGTGGAAAGAAGCATACAACTCATCTTGGAGAGGTTTTTTGACAGCCTTCCTACTGTTAACCTCACATGTCTTCTCCAGCATGTAAGAGCTGTATGTGGTGTCTTCACCACAAAATTTTGAAAGCATTTCAGATGCGTGGTGGAGATACTGCTGCAGTGAGATGGGGGCACAGTTGTTCCAGGCCCAATGGGAAACAGAAGTTACGTGTTTCTGGCAGGGAGAGTTCAAAGCCTGAAGAACCTATGCTGCTCGTGAGTGACCCCTGAGGCATTTCTGGGATGCTCCTGTGGCAAGGTGGTGTGAGTAGCTGGTCAGTTTGTCCCTGTGGCCATCATTGGAAGACTCTGTTGCAGGAGAGTGTAGGTACAACCTTGTGTCTGTCTACCAAATGGGAACAGCATAAACTTCCCCATGTTGTGTGAGGAAATAGTTAAATATATAAAATATTATTGCAAACTTTGCTATGACAATAGATGCTGTATTTGTTCATAAGCTTCATAAATATTTGCTACAGAGTAGCCCAGATGTTTATTACAGTACCAGAGGTGAAACTTTACTGGGAACAGCTACAGTTTCACAACAAGGTAGATTAGTGCTTTCATTTCACTTCAACACAGCAATATTCTTTTATAATAGTACCTAAACATGAAGTATCATTTCAAAACAAGAACTGGAATTATCAAAGTTGCAATTTATTGTGAAACACATAGGATTTGTGGTATTTCAATGATCTATTTCTCCTCATTTAACATTGTAAATTTGTTGAGTTTCATTTCCCCTTCAGCAGTTGTAGTATGGGGGACTTAGAGGTAGTGATCTTTGATGTATATAAATGCATTACATCAGGTGGATCAAATTTTAATATGGTAAACTGACCCAAACTGGCACAAAAGTGATGTTTTCAAAAACCATATTGCTAAGAGATCTCTAGCACACTTTTCTTCTTTCTGAGATTTTTCTGCTGTAGCTCTGCTGGTACCATAGAAATTCTCTGGTAAATTACAGTTCATCATGGTTTTATGGGGATATTTCCCCCCTGGGTATCCTTGAGTTTTTATGGAGTCTCACTAAATATCGTGGTTGTTTACAGTGTTCATCAACACAAGTGATGGCAAAATAGCTTTCCAACACATGATTCACAACATTATTGCTGTTAAAATAATGTGTCTTCTCACTTTCTGATGAGCTGATTTTCTTCAGTGCATCTAAAGGAGGGTATATGATCAAAATATTGAGTGGAGGGTAAAAGAGCAGTGTGGGTCAAAGTTACTCCATAACAGCAGACTTAAAATCTTGGAAGCTCAGTTCTTCTCTAACAATAATAATATTGTTGATGATGATGTAAAATTCTTCTACTGAATTTATAAGGTGATTATATTCAAGTGTCGCAACAATTTTCTGTTATGCTATGTATCTAGCAATGTTTAATCCACAGCTTTTGGAGTGTCAAAAAATATATTTAACAAAGTAGCAATGCAAGTTAATATTTAAGACATAAAATTACTATAATAAAAATCCGAGAAAAGAAAGCATGTGAAAATTTACTGTCTAGTATAAATAAGTGAGCCGACAGAGCATCTTCTAAGAAATCAGTACTGTGGAGGCAGCCTCATCATTTTATTATGAAATTACTCATATTTCCATTCTTGAGACCTAATTTTGCCATACACTTTAAGGTTCTATTATCCGTCATGAATTATTTTAATGCAGGACTTCACACTATAAATTTGGGAGCAGAAAAAGCTAAAAAATATGGCCTGTGCTATATTGTATATTTGGTTTCAACTTGAAATATATAAGTGAAACATGGGAAGTTGTTAGTAACCAGTAATAAATTTAAAGGACCACAGTAGTTTTAAAGAATTCAAGCTTGGCAGAATGTGTGCTTTCACTGTCACAAAGCTAAAAGGAAAACCCATGCCTTGGAACCTGAAAGAATCAAAATTATTTCAACCACCAGGGTTTTAAGCCAAATTTATTTGCAGGTTGAGGAGGGGTGACCATTTTGTTCAAGAACTCCATTATATAACTCTCTATTTCTCTAGTATATCACTCGATAGACAAACATCTCTATAGATTCAAGATTGCATCGAGAAGGCCTGTTACTAATTGAAATCAGGAAGTCAGATCTTCATCTGGTAAATTAATCCAGCTCAGGTGATTTACATCTGGGACTTTTAGAGACTAGTAACAGAATGTAGAATTAAAAGGTTACACTTCTACTACTCTTGGAATTTAAGTTACTTTCTTTCTAAATGTCAGTGATTTCCTCCAGTAGTATAGAAATATTTATAATAACTGCACTAAAATACTTGGCTGTTTGGTCTCAGCTAAGGGAAGCTGGTAACGTTTTTTTGGATATTTCTAAATCAAAGGTATCTAAAAGTACATCAGGTGAAAAAGAAAGTAGAAAATGAAGCAGTGATAAAGGACTCAAAACAATTTCAGATCTACACACTAATATTATGTCCTGGATCTAGTAAGACTAACCCTGCTGATAAAAAGTAAATGGGAAATAGATTTGAGAAGGCAAATCCAAAATTAAATTTGTCATGATTATTTTTTAGGAAGCATGTGTGTGTATATATAACTCCCCCCTTGGCCACCACATATCCCTCACAGACAGGTATCCCACAAAGTTTTACATGCATCCTATAGAAATCAAGAGGCACAAGCTTATTGTTTATCATTTTCACATAAAATAATTGGTTTATACTTTTATTATTGTCTCAGAGATTCCCGGCCTACACTTCTCCTTCCTGTTCCTTCCCTGAGCTTACAAAAATTGTTAAGTTTGTTATGTACAGCAGAGCCACACATTTATGTCCATATGACCCTTCTAAGTCCCCAGTAGTGTCTGAGTGGGCAAGAACTGCTGCCAGTGGGAAGAAGACCTTCCCGCAGACACCCACAGCAATGCCTCTCCCACACCCCCTTTTCCATCTGCTCAGTCTCACTCATGCAGGTTTCTATCCCTCTAGGAGTGTCAAATCGTAAATCTACTGTGTATGTCATCCTCTTTTAACTGAGGGTATGAAAACCCCTGACAGAGGTAGGAGGAGAATATTAACTGACTATTGACAATTACTTTCTGGAAGTGTTTCCTAGCTGTACTCACAAGTCACATCAATCAGATTTTGTACCCATTATTTTGGTGAATCTTTTCAGGATGCTTCCCTTAAATTAAACTCTGTGAATCTTTCTTCTTGAGAAGATGAGGTGGCACTCAGCTCTTGCAAGGAGTAAATTCCAGAGAAGTTAGTGCTTTCATCACTACCAGGGTAAGAACTGCAGGTTCTAAAATGTGTCTTTGTTATGAGTCCAGCTGGACAGGTCAGTGACCACTAGTATGTTCTACTATGTCTTGATAAAAGGGATTTCAAGCTCCTAATGGTCAGTTAGTACAATAAAAATAGCACAAGATGAAAACATCCTACTCTTATAGAGTAAAAAAGTGTGTATTTTAAACTAGATGTACAACACCACAAATATCAGCCTT